ACTTATGGGGCATATCTTCAGCCCAAGTACACTCAACAGCTCTCATGCATTCGCCGGCCCGATATCGATCGCAATAAATTTGAATTCCAGCCGGCATTCATCAGTATGCTCAGCTCATCGGCATTTAGGGGCAGACCTAATGAAGATCCAATCCCCCACCTGACTCGATTCAAACTGTTATGCCAGTCTGTGAAGACGGTTCAAGGAGTCACCGATGAGTCACTTATGCTAATGGCTTTTCCATTCTCTCTAATGGACGCTGCATTAGAATGGCTCCACACACTGCCACCAGATTCCATCTTCTCTTGGGACCAGATGCAAGAGAAGTTCATGCAGCGATTCTTCCCTGCCAGCAAAACCCAGCTCGTGAAGCAACAGATCAACTCTTTTATGCAGGAACCTGATGAATCTTTGCGCGAGACTTGGGATCGTTTTCTTGGATATCAGCGCCTCTGCCCTCATCACGGTTTGGACAAAAGGTACCTTATCTCCACTTTCTTGCAGGGTCTAAAGGAAGATACTCGAGTCCTCATTCGAGTTGCCTGTGGAGGAAGCCTCAATGAGAAGTCTTTTGACTTCATCGAACAACAAATCACTAAGATGGCTAACGAGTGCGCTCCTTCCCACGAATTCGTCAGAAATATCGGTTTTAAAGACAACCGTACAGGTAAGGAAAATCCATCTGAGATACATGCTTTACGTGCAGAGCTTGCCAAACTTAGAATGCAGGTAGAAAACGCCCATCAAATCACTGATCTAGACGCACCACGAGACGAGTACGTGCATGAGGATGTCAACTACGTCGCCAACAATCCGTACTCAAACACATACAACCCAGGTTGGAGAAATCATCCAAATTTCTCATACAAGAACTCCTCCAATGCTCTAAATGCACAGCACAACAATTTCGGTGGTTCATCTATCCCGGGTTCCTCTCAAGGAAATCAATCTCAACCCCGAAATCCCTACCAGCATCAGAATCCAGCCCCTCAACACTACCGAGCTCCCCGTCAGCCTCAGCAAAACTTCGGTCTGCCTCCATCTCAATCACAGGTAAGTCCTGACTCTGACATCAAATATATGCTTGCACAACTTATGCAGGGTCAAGAAGCCATTCGCACCGAGATGCGAGAACATCAGCAGAAGACCGATGCTCATCTCAAACTAGTCGATAACCAGATAGCGCAACTTGCTGCCTCTGTCCCTTCGCGACCTCAGGGATCACTCCCTGGGAACCCGGAAGTAAACTCCCGAGAGCACTGTAACGCTGTATGCTTGCGCAGCGGCAAAGAGCTCGCTAACCCTATCATCACATCTACGGAAAAAGGTCAGTGCTCTAACTCTGTCCCTACATCTCTTCCTGACCCCATAGTTGTTGAAAAATCGACAGAGATCTCGGGTGATGAAGAACGCGGTGTATACATTCCACCACCGCCACGTCCGCCTCCAGTTCCTTTCCCTCAACGACTCAGGAAAACTAGAGAAGACACCCAATTTGCTCGATTTGCTGACATGGTGCGTAAGTTGGAAATTACTATGCCGTTCCACGAGGTTATCACTCAGATGCCATCCTATGCTAAATTCCTGAAAGACATTCTCACAAAGAAGCGCGTCATCGAGAAGGAAACCATCACGCTTAATCCCGAGTGCAGCGCCATTCTTCAACACGATCTGCCACCGAAAATGTCGGATCCAGGTAGTTTCTCGATTCCCTGCAAACTAGGAAATGTTTCTATAGATCGTGCTCTTTGTGATTTAGGTGCCAGTGTAAGTCTCCTACCACTCTCCATCTACAAGAAACTCAACGTTCGAGAACTTAAACCGACTCGCATGGCTCTTCAACTAGCTGATCGTTCTATCAAATACCCTCTGGGTATTCTCAAGGACGTTCCGCTGAAAGTAGGCGATTACTACGTACCGGTCGATTTCGTTGTGCTTGACATGGACGAAGACGCCAAAATCCCGATTATTCTAGGGCGGCCATTCTTAACACTGCAGATGCCATTGTCCACGTTCGGACCGGCCGACTGACACTCAAGATCGGCGACGAAACGGTGGAATTCACGCTCGACCAGAATTTCAAGCAACCATCTACAGTGGACTCTATATGTTACATCGACTTGATGGATGCTTTAGCCGATGAGGTACTCTTTGAATTTCGTGATTTCGATGCCCTCTCTATTGCTCTTCTTTCTGAACAGGGCTACAGTACCTCTACGGAGCCTCAAATTCACGCATACACATCATTCTTGGACGGTTTAGCCGAAATGCCATGCAACACGGCCGTGTCATCATTCAACACGGACCGTGTCGACATTCTGCCGAAAAACATCGAACGAGACTCGCCCGTGTTTGCAACCAGCTCAGTCCGTGTTTCTTGCAACACGGCCGTGTCATCATTCGACACGGACCGTGTCAAATGTCTGAGCAAATTTGCGAAGTTAGACACGCCCGTGCATCATTATGGGCGAGCCCGTGCACAACTCGACACGGCCGTGTCGAGTGTGAACTCGGACCGTGTCGAGTCTCGGATTCATCTCCAGACTATTCCTTTGTTCGAACCGTTGCCCGTCTTCGCCGCCAAATCAACCCCCATGCATCATCTACCTGACTGGGACCCTGCAATAGCCCCGAAACTTGAACTAAAACCCTTGCCCATTGGACTCGGGTATGCATTTCTCGGTCCCGATTCCACTTATCCTGTTATTGTCAATACTGCTTTGGATGATCTACAGCTCGAGCGACCCCTCACCATATTGCGAGAATACCGGAAGGCTATCGGATACACTCTGGATGATATCAAAGGTCTCAACCCTTCATTATGCATGCATCAAATTCATCTAGAGGACAATTCCAAATCATCCATCGAACATCAACGCAGACTTAATCCATCGACGAAAGAAGTCGTCAAGAAAGAGGTACTAAAACTTTTGGATGCAGGTATCATTTACCCTATATTTGAAAGCCCTTGGGTAAGTCCGGTTCAAGTCGTCCCAAAGAAAGGCGGTATGATGGTGATCAAAAACGACAAAAATGAGCTGATTCCGACAAGAACAGTGACGGACTGGCGTATGTGCGTCGATTACAGGAAGTTAAATGCGAACACTCGCAAAGATCACTTCCCTTTACCTTTCATTGATCAAATGCTTGAACGTCTTGCTCTTCATTCCTATTTTTGTTTTCTTGACGGATACTCGGGATTCTTTCAAATCCCTATTCACCCCAATGATCAGGAGAAGACAACTTTCACCTGCCCTTACGGGACCTTCGCCTATCGGCGCATGCCATTTGGGCTCTGCAACGCCCCTGCTACTTTTCAACGATGCATGATGGCGATCTTCTCTGACATTATTGAAGATTCGATGGAAGTGTTCATGGACGACTTTCCTGTCCACGGACCTTCCTTCGATGTTTGTTTGACTAATCTTTGTAAAGTTTTGGATCGATGTTTACAGGCCAATCTAGTGCTCAATTGGGAGAAGTGCCATTTCATGGTACAAGAAGGCATCGTTCTCGGACACAAAATCTCCGACAAAGGCATCGAGGTTGACAGGGCTAAAATCGAAGTGATCGAGAAATTACCGCCCCCGCATAATGTTAAGGCCATCCGCAGTTTCCTTGGTCATGCCGGTTTCTATCGTCGTTTCATCAAGGATTTCTCCAAAATCACCAAACCACTTACCGATCTCCTCTGTAAGGATGTCCCTTTCGTTTTCACTAATGATTGCCTTGCAGCTTTTGAGACGCTCAAAAAGGCGCTGATTTCCCCGCCCATCATTCAACCACCGGATTGGAATCTGCCCTTCGAAATTATGTGCGACGCCAGCGATTATGACGGCAGAGCCGTGCTTGGACAACGACAGAATAAAGTGCTTCATGCGATCTACTATGCCAGCAGAACTTTGGATGATGCCCAGGTAAACTACACTACAACTGAAAAGGAACTACTTGCCGTTGTCTTTGCTTTCGAAAAATTCAGGTCCTACCTTGTCGGTTCCAAAGTCATAGTCTACACCGATCACGCCGCTCTGCGATATTTGCTCTCCAAGAAGGACGCTAAACCACGCCTCATCCGTTGGATACTACTTCTGCAAGAGTTCGACCTTGAGATCCGGGACAAGAAAGGAGCCGAGAATGGAGTTGCCGATCATTTGTCCCGTCTTGAACTCCCAGAGCAACTTCCCATTGATGACAATCTTCGAGATGAGCATGTTTTTGCCATCTCTACTCTTCCAGACGCTCCGTGGTATGCTGATTACGTCAATTACCTGGTAAGTGAAATCCTTCCACCAGATCTGAGTTATAATGCCAGGAAGAAATTTCTCCACGACGTCAAGGACTACTTCTGGGACGATCCTTTCTTGTTCAAGAGAGGTACCGACGGTCTATTCCGCCGCTGCATCCATGAAGGTGAGATTTTCAGTGTTATTTCCCATTGTCATTCCTCTGACTACGCAGGTCACTTCGCGACGTCAAAGACCGCGACAAAAATTCTTCAGGCTGGTTTCTATTGGCCCACGCTTTTCAAAGATGTCCACAGGTTTGTCTCTTCATGTGACGCTTGCCAGCGTACGGGTAACATATCCCGTCGTCATGAAATGCCCCAACAATATATTCTTGAGGTAGAACCATTCGATGTCTGGGGTATAGATTTTATGGGGCCTTTCCCCTCTTCTTGTGGAAATGTGTACATTATGGTTGCAGTTGATTACGTGACCAAATGGGTGGAAGTCCTAGCAAGTCCCACGAACGACAACAAAACCGTGGTGCGCATGCTCAAACGCACGATCTTCCCACGATTCGGTGTTCCCCGTGTCATCATCAGCGATGGGGGATCGCACTTCATCAAGCGCACGATCAAAGCCCTCCTGCTCAAATACGGTGTCAAACACAAGGTTACAACGCCTTATCATCCTCAGACCAGTGGGATGGTAGAAGTTTCAAACCGCGAGATCAAGTCCATACTCGAGAAGACGGTATCCAAATCCTGAAAAGATTGGGCTCTCAAACTCGATGACGCCGTCTGGGCTTATCGCACGGCATTCAAAACCCCCATCGGGATGACACCGTTCCAACTCGTCTACGGCAAGGCATGCCATCTCCCCGTAGAATTAGAGCACAAAGCTTACTGGGCCATTAAGCAGTTGAACTATGACATCAAATCTGCGGCCGAGAACGTCTTGATGCGTATGAAAACGCTAAAATCTACAAAGAACGGACGAAGAAATGGCACGACAAGCACATCCTCCAGCGTCATTTCCAGGTAAATGATCTTGTCCTTTTGTTTAACTCACGATTGCGACTTTTTCCAGGAAAGTTGAAATCCCGGTGGTCTTGCCCATTCAAGATCAAATCTGTATCATCAAGCGGTTCCATCGAACTATGGGATCATTCCGGAAGCTCATTCAAAACTAACGCTCAACGTCTGAAGCTCTACAACCCCGCTTTTCCATCGGACGCGAGAGGAGTCATCGCCCTCTCTGATCCCGCAGAGAAATGAACCCTTGCCAGGTCCAGCTAACGACCTAAAACAAGCGCTTGTCGGGAGGCAACCCGATCCCGTATCCTTACTATATATTAGTTTCGGTTTATTATTCTCTTTCTTTTCTATTTATTCTCTCTACCCGCTCATTGCTATTTCTTCTCTCGTGGTCAATTCTGGCTATTTCAGGTCTCACGGATCACCGGACTATTCATCTTTCTTTTTGGCCGGAATTCAGCACGGCCCGTGTTGCCCGTAACTCGGCCGTGTTCACTTATTTAGATTTTCACAGAGATTCTGCACGGCCCGTGTTGATTTGAACACGGCCGTGTTCGTTTTTTGCGAATTTTTGACAGAGATTTTGCATGCCCCGTGTTCTTACTCAACACGGCCGTGTTCGGTTTGCGAATTTTTGACAAAAAATTTGCACGGCCCGTGTTCTACTTCAACACGGCCGTGTTCGCTTTTGCAAACTTTTGACAGAGAATCTGCACGGCCCGTGCTCTACTTCAACACGGCTGTGTTCGTTTTGCGAACTTTTGAGAGACTTTGCACGGACCGTGTTGTCATTTTTTCGGCCTTTTTATTGTGTTTTCGCAGGACTCGGCCGTGTCATCTCCTCACAGCTGCCACCGCGCCCCACCACCGCCGTTCTCTCCGCCGAT